TGTCATGTTGATTAATTCACCTTCACATTTCATTACCGAGCTTAAAAATTCACCATCTTTATTAACTTATTTATACAACGATAAACAACGGAATTTAAACAAAAAACATCAACTCTTTTAAACTTATGAATTTCGCGCTGAGTAGTGAACAAGTTAATGAGATATGTCCAGAAATGCATCCAATAAGGAAAATAACGTATTTTTTTCACGAAACTGACCGATTTGACGAAATCTGGGAAAATGACAAAATCACACGATTAAAGACATGACTTGCTTAGAACTAAGAAGGCCCCCAGAAAGTTGACGAATATGGCAAAGACGACGAATTTGGCGAAAATGACAAATTTGACTTTATCTCGCCAAATCTATTGACAAAATTATACGAGTGAATGTGGCGAGAACATTGTTCAATCCTGTATACCTTTTTCCAACATACGCTGCGTTCATGGATTTGTAGATGTTTGAGCTAGCCAAGCCTTCTGCACATGTGCCTTGCGTTCTGTCATCTTTACAATGCCTCACAGGGATGGGCGGTTTTTTGAACTGAGGAACAAACAATATTTTAATCTGCAACTTCACGGAAACTTCACAAGAAGACATGCCGAAGCGTAACCCTAAAGCCTATTTTTCATCCCTGGCCATTCAAGTCTTTGTAAACGTGGACATAGTTGTTTAGCATTTAAAATGACAGACGGATTAAATAACAATGTGAACGAGGGTTTCAGATATCTTTACTGCTATCATCCTTTGTGCTGTCAACCTGTGACTTGACATAAGCCCTTAACAAATGGTCACATGACGAACCATATGCTTACCCTGCTGAGGCCATCAACCGGAAAAACATGCCACTCACGTGTTCGTGGAAATCACACCACAAAATAAGCAGAGTATTATCTGCTCACATGACATCAGTAAGCCAGTGACTAGGGCTAGCTCAGTGGGTGTCACTGTGACATCACGCGTTTTACTTCCTCATCGTAAGGCTGCACTTGTGGCCATTAGCATGTAAGCACAAATAATCACTAGAAGAGTGAGACATATCAATTACCTGAACTGTCAACTGTTGTGAGCAAGCCCTTTGCGAAATTATATCTGCAGCTTGAAAGGACTGGCTAACAAGATTCTGTGTTAAAGGTGGTACTAAGGTAAAAGAAATGAACTTTCAGTTAAGATCACACACCACACCTAAACCTCACACATGTACTAAAATTTACAGGTTATAAGCCGAAGGCATTTTTGCAACTGAAATTCCTGTTATCAAGTAAGGAAGGCATAACATGATGATAAAGAGTTTAGCTGCTGGTGATTTAGTCATGTGCATGTCAAGGGAACAAGAAACACCTCAAGGGATAATTAACAATCAGACCCGTAGCCCGCAAGGGCTACGGGTCAATAGCCCATGAGGCGAAGCCGAATGGGCTATTGACCCGTGGGGGCGACGGGTCTGATTGTTTTAGTATCACCCAACTAGTCAGACAGAAAAGGCAATAATAAAGTTAGCAAATGCAAGTTGAAGAAATATTTATTTGGGAATAAAACGAAAGAAAGCGTCACGCTCGATTGCGCCAATTTCGCTACTCGAGGACTACTACTAATAGTCCTCTAGTAGCGTGGCTAATTAAAATGCAGGATTTGTATTAGTCCACTAGTTGGGTGATACTAATAGCTGTTAGTATCACCCAACTGTTCAGAAATAGTGGACTAATGCAGATCCAGCATTTTAATTGGCTACGCTACTAAAGGACTATTAGTAATAGCCCTCGAGTAGCAAAATTGGCACAATCGAGGGTGACGCTTTCTTTCGTTTTATGTCCAAATAAGTATTTCTTCAACTTGCATTTGCTAACTTTATTATTGCCTTTTCTGTCTGACTAGTTGGGTGATACTAAAACAATTAGACCTTTCGCCCTCAAGGGCCACGGGTCAATAGACCATTCGGGCTACGGGTCTAATTGTTAATTATTACAGTGGAGTCTGGTCAAATATTATTTTGTTCAAAAAGGCATACAAACGAGGCGGATGGGCCAATACAAACCAGAATTGACCCTTTCGTTTCGTTTGTATGTCAAACTGCTGATAACTGTACTAAGAGCTATTGAAGTGCCAAAAGGACAATTTCGATATATCAAAATTCAGCCTAAAACAATAGACCTCAGTACAAGGCTCTTGGCAAGAACTACAGAGTTTGTGAGGTTTATTCCCCAGAGCCTCGTGCTGAGGTCTATCATGTTAGGCTGAATTTTAATATATCGAAATTGGTCAATAGAAAACCATTTATTTATTTGATAATTTTATTCATGTGTGCATTCCAGTCCATTCATCAATCTATTCATCCATCCACCCATCCGTTTGTCCGCCCGTTCATTCATTTTAACAACCATACCATCAGTTTCTAACAACTAGTAATGAAAACAAAAAACAGCTCTGGCAGTGACACTGGATAATCTAGAAATTATCCAATTGCTGTTCTGCCACATTACAATGACAAAAATCACAAACCAAACAAAAAATACAATGCTGCACGAAAGAGCAAAACTGAATTTGACTCAAAGGAAGCAGGACGTTATCAATGGACTGTTTAGGTGGAACAAAGCTTGGTGTTAACGCATTATTTTTGTACAAACCAGCGGTGATACTTGGATTACAATACTTGTCCAGAGACACAAAGAGCAAGGCCAAACCAAGCTCAGACTCAGGGATAGGACGGCATCTGTGGCTATCAAACAAAACAAAAGAAAGAAAAAAGCACACACACACAAAATACAACGTGCCATAACATTGTTTCAGAAAACATGTGTAGCTGTCAAATTGATTCTACTAATTTAATTCCTCTACCTCGACCTCCTCAAAAAGAATCCAGATTTATAATCCAGACTTAAATGAATCAGTGAAACTCAAACACTCTATGGTAAATAAACACAAATCCAGACACAATCAACACAGGATTAAATTCTCTCTTTAACCACATGGTTTTGNCCTGCAGTGAGTTTGATCCCTATGAGGAACAAGGTCGTGCCAACACAGTGTATTGATTTTAGTGATAGCCGACAATTGCATTTTTGTGCTTTTCACTATGTTCAGTGAGGCTTACTAAACAAAATAGTAGTAATGATTAGCACGTTTTAAACTTCAGGGTTTATGTCTTATTGAAAGATGCAGTAAGATCAAAATTCTCATACCAAGTTTATGAATGGTACTTTTCAGTGTCTTCTTCTGTTTGTCATCAAGACAAGAGGTGACAACAATCAAAGGACTGTACCTCAACCTTAAAAATAACATTTATTAAAGCTGTATGAACCTAAAATGAGTACCAACATACATTAATATTAACAAGCTGGGCAGGGGCATAACAATGCAAGCAAAGTTGTGGCTTTTTTTCTGTTAGAGATATGTACAGGTCACTGGTGCCATTTCTCATAATGTTTGCATGCGACTGAATTGTGAATAATTTGACAAGAGGAAGGCCATATTGCACCGCAACATGGAAAAATTACACAAAATGTTCACACACTAAAACACAATCCACACAGTTTAAGGATTCAGAAAATGTTGATTAAGACTAGGTGAAATTTCTCTAACCTGTCAGCAACTTGTGTAAGGAATGTTACCAAGTGTCTTGTAACATACAGGTGTAATAAGGGTACAGATGATTTTGCACTTGTTTGTACTGGCAAAAAGACAAGGCTGTTGAATTGTAGTACTGTCCCATATTAATAAGTTTTCATCAGAAATCTGTGTACCACTAGTTCAAAAGCAACACTTTTCAAAGAGTAATAAAATATTACATTTCCAAGGCTTTTCACGTATAATCATTATACAGCCAAATAGTGAGGTTGAAATTTNTAAATTTGCCCAAAGGGGATCTATTCCTTCCAAAATCAAATGCAAGATTTTAGCTCGTAAAGGTTTGCAAACAATTCGCACCATGCCAGGGGATTATCTCGCCTTATGAAACTGCAAACCATTGGAACAACAGGACCTCCTAGTGTCAAAGACAATGGATCAGGATTTCCTGGGAAAAGCATGGCATTGCAACACATTTTCTATCTTGCTGTCGCATTGAAGAGAAAGACACTAAAACGGGCAAAGTAACCAAAGGCAAGAGAACAAATGAACGATATCAGAAGGTGATATGCTTCTGTCCGAACACATAAAGAGAATTTAGACGCTTCTAGGTGATATGCTTCTGGCGATATAAATACATGTACCAAATAACATGAAATATGAGCTCCAAGATAAGCGTGTACTGTGGAAATTTCCCGTGGCGGTTTTGTCCATTAATATATAAAATGATTATGACACCTTCCTGGTTTATTAAGTTAACTTTATTTGAAAATACATTTTTTTCTAAATAACTCGGCCCCTTTTTGAGATTGATATTTTTCTTTTGTAAACTGAAGATAAAATGACTGACTTAAATTTTGTCAAATAAAAGAAAAAATGATTTTTTGTGCCCCTGAAGGTGGGAAGTAACCTTAACAGTTACATTTGCTATAAGTTTTTCTCTAGAGTCAAATTATCATTGAAATCATGGAAAGTAAAAAATTTGTACTTACACGAAAGAAAATCATGAACATAATGAAAGCAGAATGTCTGATTCAATTATATACATTCCAGCCTCTTCAAGAGGTATTCTCCTTGAAAGGATATCATCACCATTAAAAATACCATTGTGAGGAATATGTTTCACTAAATTATTCATGTTCTACATGAATTCTAATTTCTTCAGCAATTCAAAGGATTCTTTTGATCAGTGTGAAGTATAAAATACTGTGAATAGTGAAAGTGCACGCAGCTAAAACCGATTTAAAACTGGGAAACAGATGCTTTACAAGATTCTTTGATGGTACATTTAATAAGTGCAAGACTTTCATCTGAAGTAAATGTACAATGAGATGAACGTAGTTCGCTGCAGATGGGTGACTTTAAAGCCAGTAGTTTTGGCAAGCTACTGGCCCTTAATATCAACCCTGTGTATGACAGCAAAACTTTGTCAGACACAGTTCAGCAACAGGATTACAATCAGTGGCTCACCTGTAATGACTGTTGTTTTTTCCAAATAATACTTCATCACCATTTTTCAAATGAACTGTTCCAGAGATTCTCACTCCATTAACAGAAGTTCCATACTTAGAGAAATCTTGTAAAAAAACTTGTGATAATTTACTTGGATCACCCTGTAATGAAAGAATGATATATAATTAGTTGCAGCTCTAAAT